TTTTTGCAGTAGCAGCAACATCAGCTGGTATAATGCAGCCGTCATATAGGGGAGTGTCACCAAAAACAATCCCAGTGATATCATCGACTTCCAAAACCCTGCCGTCACTCTCGTCGAATGTACTCGCTCCACCGCAGTTTCCATTGATGGATCCTTCAGTTCCGCCTCCTTCGATTGGATCGTCGTTATCGATGAATATCGTAAATCCTGCTGCTACTACTGGTGGTGGTCATCTATCAATCAGCGGTCAAACAAATCCACAAAGTATTGCTGGAATGAGCTACAATATTCGAGCGAATCTAGCGGACGAGATCAGGACAAGAGAGCCACCAGAAGAGGACAGTGGTTGCCATCGTTCATGGAATGAAACTGCTTCTTCATCATGGTGAGTAGCCAACGATCAACTTTTAAAAGTCTTTTCTCTAATGGTCACACTAGGATTTGTCCTGCTGCTGTCGATCTTGGTAGAATTGTTTATTTTGTTGTTGAGATAATTCAATTTGGTGGATATTTCAGTTTTTGAAGTTGATATTCATTGATGCATTTTTGTGATATGAGTATAAGAATGAAATCAAGACAATGGTGGTTTGGTGATATTTTACTGAACAATTGTAAAGTGTGAATGAATGTTTCACTGTTTACCCAGGTCTTTGGGCAAAAGTTCCTCAACAGAGATGGGAGGTCGTGACAGTGCTGTGATTGATGTAAATCAGCCGTCAACATCATCAAAATATCACCCACAAGATTCAAGAAGCGCCTCGATGGCTGCTGTTGGTGTTCCGCCAGATCAAAGCCAGTCGTCGCCGGCGCAATGCCGATCACGACCGGCCTTCAATGTGGAGCAATATTTCGACGAGGCAGACGAATGCTTGGGCAGTTCGGCACCGAATTATTCGCCTCATAAAGAAAAATCATCTTTATTGCCAACTCCAAGACAGCAGCAGCAACAGTCTCAGCAATCGCACTCGTCCTCAACACCATTGTCGTTGTATCAGACACCGGTACGGGATCGAGACGATCGTTCATCAACATTCAGTCATTTCCAGTTGTCTGCTGAGAGAACGTGTGGATATTCAGGTAATTTAGTTGTTGTTGTTCATCTTATCATGTCTTAGATGATTGAGATTGTGATATGATACAAGTTTAATTTCATTTATTTCATTGCCTGACTGAAATTTTAGGTTGTTTCCATTGAACTGGCAATAAGGAGAAATGAAATAAGTTTCGTTCATTTGTGTGAATTTTGAGAAGTTGTGAATGTTTATGAGATGATAATTGTTGTTAAAGTCTTGATTTTTGACTGGTAAAGATATAGTCTTAATTCTTTGATTGCGTTTTTATATGAAATTGAATTTGTGCGATATGGTTCGCGTGAACTCTCGACGGAACGTTCATAATTGTTGTGTAATTGAAGGATCGCAACACTCTCCGATAAATCAGCAACAACAACAACAGCAAAGGTCTATGCAGCAACAGCCTCAGCATCAGTCTCTGGCATCAGCCACTCCAACAGCCGCCATCCGAACACCTCTATTATCGAGTCATCAGTACGAGCCAGCAGCGGTCGATGTGAATCGAGTGTTGTACGGGAATGAAGACGTTAGGAGTTTACCGAAATGGAGTGATGAAGCGAATATGAGCAATGCTAATCAAGCCAGGCACACTGGTAGCAGTACATTCATGAGCCAAACTCTAGCAGATAATAACGATCGATTTTATCAGCAAGCAACAGCGATGACAACGAATCGACCGCCGTCTTACTCTTCACTTGAGCAAACGTTAGTGTTTTGATNNTATGTTCTGAGGATTTGAGAGTATTCAAGAGGTGAATGGAGAGTGTTTGCTGGTGTTGAAAATTTCCATTTGGAAGTAAGGTTTCCGTCTTGGAAACTGGGGAAATAAGGGAACACTCTGTGAGATCCATTAATGTCTAGTTTTGTCTCGTGTGGATGCTTTTCATTGGAATGAGAAATTCATATGGAGACAGTGAGATGCTTTTAGGGTTTACATTGAATGTGGTTGGTAAGTTTGGTGTATGATTTTATACGATGGATGATCAGTTGATTGCCAGAATGTGATTGCTTAGGTGATTGTGATTAATTTAAGGATTTATTCGGAACCACCACCACTAGCTGCTCACCTATCGTCTCGCCACGGGCAAGCATCGTCAGCAGCCGGATATGCTTGTTCTTCTTCGATGATGTCGAGTCCTCCTCCTGCAATACGTCTGTCGAATGCACCCAGTTTCAAGCAAAACATCATGGGGCTATCACATTCTGCGCCGAAATCACATAGGCCTCTGTCACCGCTCACTGCATCTGCTCATCAACTTTCTGGTGGTAACGTAACGCCGTTGGGAAACAGAGGAAGACGTGAGTATTTAGAGATTTTGCTGTCTTAAACGTTTTGAGCGATTCCATTAGGTTTTCATTGAAATTCAGTGGAAATTTTACGCTGAAATATTCATCGGTTTGTGATATTTTTTATGACATCGATTGAAATGATTAATGATTATTTGTTTAAGCGAATAATGGTCGTGGAGGGGGTGCTGCCGCTGGAGGTAACAGTGCATTTAGCCAACAGCATAGAGCACCACCGCAGTCATCGTCGAGAGGTGGCCGTGGCTCAGGTTCTGGGAGAGGTTCGATATTCGAGCAGTCGCGTAAATTCTTTTGGTGACATGAATCAGGAAA